GGGAAAGAGAGGAGCAGACACACTGAGAACTGGAACATGGGAGTCTTTCAGCTCCATCTAGAGAGCTTTCTGTCACAAAGACAAGATGGAGACTGACCACAGAGACATGAGCTGAGGATGAGGAGCAGCAGGGAGATCATCTTCATCCTGAGAGAGGAAGAGGAGGAGGAGGAGAGGCAGCAGGACATCAGGAACAATATGAGGAACAACTGGACTGATGGAGAGGAAAAGAAAAACAAGGCTGTAAAAGTAGTGAAATTATTCTGTTATAACTCATAAGGAGAAAACAGCAATGAGTGAAATCTGGAAATAGTTTGTTGAGTTTTTTTTTAACTCACTAAGTTTCTCACAAATTTTTCAAACTTTTCAAATAAAATGTGACATCAATTTGTTCAAAAGGTTTAATAAATTACAAATAAAAAATATGTATTTTAAATAACAACATTGCAAATGAGCCACAAAAAAAATAAAGCTGAAGCTGTGAAGAGAATCTTTCCTCTATAAGAAAATCAGCTGAGCTGCATTTGTGTTTGTGACCATCAATAAATATCCAGTCGGTCGAAACACGGAGAGAAATAGACCAAAAGATTTAATCCTAAAGATTTAGCTCTTGGATTAAATCTAAAATGAATCATTTTACTAAGATAAACTAATGAGACATCTTCATCCTGAGAGAGGAAGAGGAGAGGAGGCAGCAGAACATCAGGAACAACATCACTCAATTCAAGGAACAACTGAAATATCTGGTCTTTCCTCACTTTTTTTCTTTTTTTTTTACTTTACTTAGTTTCTATTAGTTCTTCTGCCCTGCTGGAAATCTCTACTTTTATTTTACAACATATTATATTAACTGTAACTATTATGTTTCTCACCTGATTGGCTGTGAAAGCTCCTCCTGCTCTGAGGTCCGCTGCTGCTCAGGCTCAGTGAACTGAGCTGACAGGTGGAGGTGGGGACCTTATATGCCTTAGTAAGTTCCTCTCGACACAGATCGGTTTTCTGTGTAGTGATCTCCTATTGGTTCGCATAAAATACGAGCCAATAGGAGATCACTACACAGAATGCCATCATTTGCATTCTCTACATTGTCACAACTGATGTCTCTCTGTGTACTAAACGCCTTCAGTGGCGCAACTACACATTATTCAGGTGGATGCGAAAGTATAAATCGGCGCCCCCCCCCCCCCCCCCCCCCCCCCGAAGGAACGTTAGGGTGAAGGAGCGACGCTCACTCGAAGGAGCGTGAGGCGCGCTGAAGTGTATGGGAAAACATCATCGGCGCGTCGCACCCTCCAGACGGGGTTTTGGCGCCCCCTCTGGTGCTGCGCCCCTATGCGTTGCATACGCTGCATACCCACTTTTTGCGCCTCTGCGCCTGTTGGTTCGTGTTTAGGAGCCTCAACCACATCAGGCCGCCTCGCCCTCAGACACACGGAAGTTTAGTTCACAGTTCGGCCATTTCTGCCAGCCGACATCAGAGGTTAGCAGACGGTTCGTCCACAGCCGGTCAGGTGAGCAACATAAACCTGTTTTATTTAGTTGTTGGTCATTTATTGAGACAATCTGCTAAATAACAGGACAGAAACTTTAAGAACCAGGAGTCAGAATAACAACCAGTAGATAAACACAGGAACGTCGTTCAGATCATCGTCTCATTGTAGTGGCGACTGTTGGTCAAACCAAACATCCTATAATATTTCAATCCAGGCGCCATTGCTGCACTAATGTGACTGATGTCTCTACGCAGGCAAAATTAGTACAATTTCCAAAACTTAAAGATTGCTTTTTATGGTTTATTTTTTCCCATTTACTGGAAAAGCAAATGTTTCCTGATTCTTCTGCTCTGGTTAAAAATAAATCCACAGGTCCAACCCAGTATGCTGCTCCTATACCAGTCAGTCCCTATAGTTATAGAAAACGGACCTTCAGTTCTTCCTGTCTAACTTAGACATGACAAAACAAAGAAACAAAAAGTAAATAAAATAACCAATTATTAACCTACAAATGAACTTTGTAAATAATCACAAAATGTAAAGTAGGCTAAGAATAAATTACTGTAATTTGTAGAATTTACTCACTGATATTTTCTCCACATAAATTATAATGACTGATTTTATTCTGAAGGTGTTTATAATGACAAGTCTTATGAGCTGCGGAGAAACAAACGTCCTCTTGTCTCACTTCGTCATTATCACCACAAGGTGGCAGTAGTGATCAATTAAAACATTTATTTTTCTGCACGTTTTCTATTTCTTTCTTTTAAATTACTTTCATTCATTCATTTATATGATTGTTCATTGATTTGAGGCTGAGTTTATTCACGATACAAACCTTTGATTTATGACATCAAAGCAAATATTTTCATATTAATTGAACATGATAGTCCATGCATCTGTCCTGATATCAGTGATATGTGTTTAAAAACAAACTAGAAAGAAAATATATTTTAGAAACAGACGAGTTGAGAAATGATGCCTGGAAAACACTGATATAAAGATCTAAGGGGAAAACCCCCATAAAGTTTTAAACTCTATTATTGTTAAAGTCTAGTGACAAAATTATATCTGTGTGTAAATTAATGTGTCATGTTAGTTTTAAAGGTCCTTTAAGTTCTAATGTGTTAAAACTTTCCTCTGAAATTTGCTGCTTGTTTTGTTTTTGGGGTTTTTGCTCTTTATTATATATTGAATATATAATAAAGTATGTTATTATTTCATATATCTAAATGTTATGTACATGTTTAGATGTACATAAACATGTAAATTAGTTTTAAAGAAACGTCAAGGCATTTAAAAAAAGATATGAACTAAATATAATCGTTCAGAGTTTTTCTGAAATGTTATTTAAATGATCAAAATAAACATTTTAGTTAATTTGTCTGTCGTAGTTTTATGTTTTCACATTTTCTCAGCAGATTTGATCAAAACTATTTTCTAATTCACAGTTTCATCTTTTCCCATAGTTTAGTTTTGTTTTATTTGAACAAAGAAACTGTTAATTTTAGTTATTTAAATCTGAATGAACAAAAGCAGAGCTGCTGTTTCACATCTGAAATGTTTCTTTGTCCACATGGTGGCGCTCTAAGCTCTGACTAAAAGCTGCTCAGCAGTGAAAGTGGTTTAACAGAAATAAGTTCACTAAACCTGTGTAAAACAAAGAGAAACAGCTCAATTTAATGTGGAAATCATATCTGAAAACAGAGAGTGAATAAAGTAACACCTTTTGTGTAACCTGCTGGAAACCTCATAAACTATATAAGATCAAACAATGTGATATGTACTGAAATTCTTGGAAAAAATATCTATATTTTGGATCAGCATATTCTATACTCCTCAGTGATTTACAGTATCTATTATCGGTGTGGAAAACGGCGATAAAAACACTGCAGCTGATAATCACTCAGATAAAAGCAAAAAGGATGATTAATAAAGTAAGATAAAAAAACACACAAGATCTGATTTATATGAGATATGAATAAAAAATAAATAGAACATTGAAACACATGTACCTGTGGAGTGACTTTGTGGAAATATATGTCTAAAGAAAAGAAGCAAAATAAAAGCATAAATATATTCAAAACAAGGTACAAAGAAGTGGAAGATTAAGGAAATACAGAAACGGTAAAAAATAATGTGAAATATTATATGCGTGTGTGTAGGTGTGTGTTTTCCTGTTTGACCTGCAGCTGCTGCAGAAACTAATCTCAGGTCAACTGGAGCTGAACTGGTTCTGGATCTGCTTCCTCTTCCTTCTGCTTTAGATCCACAACTTTTTTTCTGACAACCAACCCAGTAACCAGTGAAACCATCAGAACGGCTCCAACAATCAGTCCAACATGTTTGTTTCTGCTTCCATCTTCTTTTCTTCCCTCCTTGTTTTCTGTCAAACAGAATCAGAGCTGAAGGTCAGAATCCATTTCTCTTCATCTGCTGCTCTCAGACCAGCTGCTTCTGCAGCAGCTTTAGAAACACAAACATCTGGGCTGACAGGTTCATTGCAGAACCAGAACCACATCTGGCCTTAAAGGGATATTCCCCCTAGATTAGCCACAGAGACTCTGGAGACATTTTACCTTGAAGAAGATTCACTGATTGAACATTAAACCACTTTATGCAGCTTCCTTCTTTCACTGGAACATAGAAACCATGAAAACTCACCAGTAGGAGGCGCCACGTCCAGGAAGACGGTCCCGATGGGGTCAGAGGTCAAAGTGCGTCTCTTCCTGCCGGTTGCTTCTCTCTGGAAAACCCGTCTCTCGTATGTTCCCGTGTCGTTGGTCGTCACGTTGCTCAGAAGCAAAGACACGTCTCCGTCCTCCATCCGTCTGTCCTGCAGCTCCACCCGCTTCCTAAAAGATGGATGCTGGTTCTCTGGGTCCGGCTGCTCGTCTCTGAACAGGAGGACATATTCTGGTTCCAGGTCCGGTCGGGTCCACTGCACAACCACAGCAGGTTTGTTGTTGGGGAGTCGGCATGGCAGAGAGACGATCTGTCCAGGAACAGCTGAGATGGTTTTATGGACTACAGGACAGAGAAACGGAGCAGAAAGGTCAGAGGTCAGAGTGAACCGGTCCACTTCCAGCAGCAGCAGAGACCAAGGAGAAACACTGGACTCTGACCTGGACTGGATCAATGGATCTAACAAGGATTAATGGTTATTATTGTATTAAATGTAATTCCTCTTTCAGAAATTTAAACACTTCTTCTACACTAACAACATAAAGCTACAGGATGATTATTATTATATGTTGCAGATATTATTATAATAAATATTTTTGCTCATGCCATGCTGTTGTAACATGTAAAATGCAGCTCAGCATTGTCTTGAAGGAATAAGCATTTATGTCCCTAAAATAGATGTTTGGACAGCAGTATATGTTGATCTAAACATGTTTATATCTGTCAGACTTAATGGTGTCACAGATGTGGCAGTTACCCATGGCAACAGCCCTAAGATGTGACCCCCACAAAGTTTGGTCACACCTGCTTGGTTTAACTGTGATCTTAGTTTAGGATATGACCCCGTTTTGAACAGTAATCAGAAATGTTTGGAGAAACATAATGCAGTAGCACATATCTACCGGTTTTTTTTTTTTCTTTCGAAAAAATTTATTGGTACTTGGGACAAGAATTTTTTTACATAGCATTGCACATTTATACAGAATTCTCTTTTCAAATAAATAAAATACAATTTCTCACATCATTTTCAACTAAAAGAAGATAAGAACAAGGATGCTAAAAACCAAAACTCCGTGTTAAAAGTTGGGCAGGACCGGGGTGACTCCTTACGAAGTTCTGAGTCATCCCGTCCCTCCAGGCAGGGGCTCAGAGGAGAAGCTTCCCCTGCTGCTCCTTCCCTCCTGCCTCACCCGGAGGGCCGGGCCGCCGCGATGGCTGAAGTGGAACATTTTTAAGTGATGACTGTGCAGCTGGTTGTGAAAAGCTCCAGATCGTCTCTGTTCATTCATTTCTCCTGTTAAAAAAAACGTTAGTTCATTGCTAACCAGAAAGCCGACAAGTAATTAACATGATTATTAACATGATCAAGAGATGTTTGGGACATTTTATCCCGTTGTAATTATGACAATTTGTTGAATCTTAATGTCGGCGTTAGACGCGTGAGTGTTGTTATCTTTAGGAAACGCGTGCTCACCCCTTTCCCGGACCTTCATACATTCCCAGCGTTTTCTGAAGTGGTCTAATGAGCTACAGTGCAAAATATTGTTTTGCTAAGTGTGTCATGACATTTGTCCCCTATCGGTATACGTTCGTTTGTGTTGTCACTGTTGGATCATAAGCTCTCAGTTCTGTGAATTTCCTGAGATGGTTGAATTATAATGAGATCTATAATGTGCATTAATTTACAAGATAAAAATTCCTGATATAACAACAAGCTGACATTGTGCTATAGAGTAAATATAAGGATTGCGATTGTTCAATCACAATAGTTTGACAAAGTTTATGATGACTTTCTGAATAAAACCTGGAATAAATCCAGCACAACATCATCATCTCCCGATGCATCAATAACTTCAGCAACAATCATTTCATTTAACTAGATTTTCATTCAATATTTTTAATTCCATTCAATAAATTAAAGGTTTATTCCATACATTCTTAGCAATATCAATATATCCGAAGCAAATATAGAGACTAACCTGTATCTGTTAATGAAAATCCCAATGTAGAAAGGAAAGGAACCGTGAAAAACAAGAAAGCGTCCATGTCTTACAGATGGAGGATTAAAAACTGAGCAATGGGCCAATTAGGTGGGCATTTAGAGAGACAGGGGGGAGGGGGGTAAAGAAATGTCATCAGACATACCTCCTTAGATCAGCCCACAGGATCAGACTGTAGAGTGACACCACCTGACCCAAAGCATTGAGGAATGTGCAAATATGACAGGTCTGCTTTGTTAGCTCTCTCTGGTTGGTCTCCTTAACCGTTCATGTTGGCTGTAACCTGATCCACTCACTAAAAAAAGCTTTTATCTCTCAAAGCTAAAAGTTTCCTTCAGCAGCTTCAGTAATGGGGCCGCCTGTGACCCTGTGGAGCAGCAGCAGTTTATGGCATTAAAAGGGGCAAGAAATAAGTAATATTCTCTATTCTTGTTAAAGTTTTTAGGTAATAGCCTTTAATTTCCTAATATGAGAGATTCTACACTAATTTATCTGCATAGAAAAGGAGATGAAATACTTCACTTAATAATATTGATCCCTGCTCTCATCCACCAGCAAAGAAAAAGGATGGATGGATGGATGTTTCATACAGGAGACAAAAAATTAGAAATCTTAAATTCTTGATAACAGTTTTCAACATCTCATTGTTGAAAACTTCACCAGTGTGATAAACAAATATAGATTATAGATTACATGTAAAATGTTTGGTCTGTGGATTCCTGCATGAGGAGAATCTGACCTGCTGGTGGAGCAGCTCAGAGGAAAATCATGCAGGAAGTTAAAAACAAGGTGAGGATTTTAAAATGATCCTAAAATAATCAGCAGCCTGTAGAGAGAAGATAAAATGGGTTAAATGGATTCATGTTGACTTAGTTAAAAACTTACTTCTTTATTTTATGAACTATGGAGTTAAAGCAGTGGAACCACTAACATATATTACATAGGAGTAATTAAAGCTGGTCATTAGAGACATGAAGTAACATCAGAGAGTAAAAATGAAAGACCTGCTTTTATTTGAACCAGCTGGATCACATGATTAATTTTGGTGAATTTTTTTACATGGTGCTTTAAACAAGAGTTAATCTGTTCCACTAACTCTAAAAAGTACATAAGAGTTTTGTTATTCTCTTCCTCCTTCAGACTTTCAAATGTGACGCAGTTTAAATTAGACTGTAGAGAAAAACTACCAACCCCCAACCTGCAGTCATGTTGACTCAGTGGCATGAATATCTACTAGAGGTGTGTCTGAGTTTGTCCTTCTGTGTTTTCCTTGACAAAGCAACATTTCTCCTGCTCAGAAATAAAATCATTATGTTAAACATCTGATTTTTATCTACAGGTTAATCTACTCATGTTTTATTGACTCCAAGAATCTAATCTGAAGTTTAACTGATAAAAAAAATCGACCTTGGAAAATGATAGATTAATTATTTTGAGGCCAATATATTAAAATAAATTTAAGCTTATAAACGCTGAAGGAAAAGTTGAGTGAAAAGTGGTTTTTAATCAAATTTAACTCATTAATAATTTATTAATACGTTACTGAATGAAAATCTAGAAACACAAACATCAACTCAGTTTATTACTAAAGAAACTTTAATCACAAACCTTAGATCAGCTCATCCATAATTTATTTAACATTTAATTAACAAACATTTAGAGAATCAGTTAATAATCGATTGATCAAAATCATAAACAAAGAACCAACATAGAGTTTATAATCTGTATGAAGCATTAAACATTTCTGTGAATTATCATATTTTTAACTTTGTTGTTTGATTGAAATTCTTAACAGCTGAGGTGGAAAATAAGGTTTATCTTTTTTGGATTACAGTTTATAACATTTACATATGAAGAGCAAAATGTAATGAGACATGTTCACATTCTCATGTATTTCAAGAGAAACTATTCTTCTAAACTGAAGCAGAAGCTTTTTTGCCCTGGGATAAAAATCTGCCTGCTGGCCTTACATCCACTGTTTGTTCTGAGTTTTCATTCCTGTTGCAGAAACTGGAAGTTGTTGTAAACAACCTGCTGTAAGTAAAAACTGAGCCTAAAGCTTAATAAGTTAGTAAATTAATATCATTAATATCAGAATGATTCAGCAGAATGCTGAATCATTCTGCTGCTGCAAAATGATTCACCAGCAGCAGCTTGTAGCACAGCCAACATTTATTCCTGAATATAGTTAATTTATTTCTCTGTTTTCTGAAGGTTCAGTTAAACATTTCTGCTCATGTTCTTCATTCTCATTTACAATCATTAAAAGCAGATTATTTAAACCAGTGACCTGATCATTTAAAGCAACCCAAGTTTTAATTTCACTGAGTATTTTTTTATATTATTAAAGTGATAAATTAGTTGAAGTTTCTTCATGTAAGAGCAGGAAGACATGGGGAAGTCAACAAGCTGATTTTTCATTGTTGATGTTTCAGAGACAGACAGTTTTTACTTCCTGCCGAGGTTTTGTGGTTTATTAAGTTTAGTTTCAACAGGTTCAGAGGAAGAGTGTGACGATGTGAAACTTTGTGTTTCAGTTCCTGTATTTTGCCACCTACTCAGGCACTAAAACAAACATTTTGCTTTTCTCAAGACCTACTAATTAAATTAATAAGTTAATGAGAAATTAATTAGGAAATAAATCAAAGAACTTCAACAATAAACTCTAAACCTGAAACTTGGAACCAATTAGATTGTTAATCTGAATGAAAGTGGAGTTAGTGGCTTTAAGAAATGCAACATTTTTCAAAAGTGTCTTTGTTTATACAATGATGCAGGCAGACCTGTCATGATAATGAATAAGACATTTTAAATGTTCAAGATAAATAAACCAAACAACATAAACAACAAATACATGAATTATAAAGTCTCTATAAATAAACTTGTCCTTCAAAAACAGGCTGGTTGAGACCAAAGCACCAAATTGAAAACTTTTGTGATCTGGTTTTTAGTAGAAAGTCAGAAAAGAGGAAAACAATAAATGATGCAAATGGAAATTATTTAACTTGATTTAATTTATTATTTCATTCATTGATTTATTGCTTATTGCGACTGGCCTAACTGCAGGCTTCCTGTAAAAAAGAATGTTTTCTACACTGTAACTGAATCACTGAGGTTTTTTTTTCTAGAATGAAAGTAAAGAAATATAGTGTAAAAGTTGTAAACTTGTTCAGCTTTATTTCTCCATGACTCACATCCAAGCATAACCACTAAAAGTCTGTTTCTGAGCTAGAGCACTGTTTGAGTCAATCATAAACATGATTTGAAAGTTTTGAGAACCTCAGACAAACACACACCAGGATTATAATGAATAAGCCTGCTTTTTCTTCTTCCTCCTTGGAAACTCAGCACTTCCCTCAAATGTTCAGAGCTTCAACAAGTTGACTTTTAACACAGAGTTTCCCAGCATGCTTCTGGTTCATTTTCTGTGTTTTAAGTATGAAAAACTGAGTTCTGGAGATTTCAGAGTTTATCTGTATAGATTCAGTTGACAGAAAATCAGAGCAAAACAATAATCAACTTCACATTGTTTATAATCAACATTCTGAATTCACAACAACATCAAGGATCATTTTCTTTCTAAGCTGTTTGCTTCTCCACAAAAACCATTTAAAGCTCAGAAACTGTAGTTTCATCTGATATCCTCCAAACTATCACTTAAAATCTTAGCAGATCAGATAAATCTGATTAGTAAAAGACTACAACTCCCAGCAGATCCCAGTTGTTGGGTGAATATTATCTGTACTGAGTTTATCCAACCTCTTCAAGGAAATACTGAAAACTTTTTCTGATTAGTTGTGATGTGAAGATTGAATCCTCTGACATTTAAACCAGCTGGTTTCAATGTTTTAGATCTGCAACAAGTGACAGCCAGAGGCGGTCCTACCCTGTTGTGCCCCTGGGCGAACCACCTTGCCTTCACGTTCTCTGAGATTTTGTGTAAAATTTTGTAAATTTATTTTAAAATAACAATATGGGATTGATGAATCTGAACTTCATGAACTACAAATCTCAACAGTGCCACTTCTTGTTTTCACAACTGAACTTTCAGCTCATGCTGGTTAGAAATGAAGTGGGACTTTATGTGACATAAACCTTTTACTGAATGACACTGAAGAACAAAATAACTTGTGGTTTGGACAGTATGGGGGAAGTGTGTTGTCTCCTAAAACTGAACGAACAGTGTTTCATTCATGGGCTCGAGACTCACAAGTCTTTAAATGAAAAAACAGAAGTTAGATACGATAGTTTCTTTTTCTTTTTTGGTTGTATTACCGTCAGCATGCCCTAAAGGATAAAATAGATACAAATAGCAATTTGCTTGTGATTCCAGGATGAGAGTTAATGAACATAACTTAATCAACTATTTTAATTGGAGAAATGGGAGAAAACTGATTTGCGAACAGACAACAAAGATCTTTGTATAGCAAACATGTGCAGACTTGAAGAATCTGAGCAGAAACTGAATCTTCCTGACTGAACTCCTTCAGTTCATTGAAGCAGAAAAACTGATTTCTCTGAGAATCAACAGATCAGCTGATCTCTGTCAGAAAGAAAACTGTTAAATGAAACAACAACTAGAGCAAACGTCTGGTTTATAGCAGCTGATCTACTGATTATAGTTCTATAAACTTCTGGAATAGATTTTATTGAACTGAAGTGAATTAAACTGATTCTAATCAGGATTCAGATTCAGTTTTCAACTAGATAAAATCTCTTTTCACCATATATTTTAAACAACCACTGATCAACACTACATGTTTGGAGTGTAGTGTTGAGAGTGCAGAGAGCTGGTGGTTTCAGGTCACATGTTGGTTCATAAATCTGACAGTAAAGTGAAAGGAACTGAAACTGTAGCAGAAAATATTAGTAATCATTTGCCACATGGATCATATAAGAGGACAGCTACAAATTCTGGGAAACAATGAAAACAAGGCAACCAGATAAGTAAGCATGTATTATGATTTTATGTTTCTTTAGATTTCATTTTAGTGAAAATGTATACTTTTATTTTTGTAAATTTGCTTGTTAAATAAGACAATAAAATACACAACAAATCAGAAAGATACAACAAAGC